TGTTCTCAGGGCAGTTTATTTATTTTATTTATTCGTTTGATTTATACCCCACCCTCCCCGCGAGCAGGCTCAAGAGAGCTCTCTCAGCCCCACCTACCTTACAGGGTTTCTGTTGTGGGGAAGGGATTGTATACTGCTCTGAGATTCCTTTGGGTAGTGAAGGGCGGGGTATAAATCCAATCTCCTCTTCCTCCTCCTCCTCTTCTTCTTCAATTCTAGCTGAGGTTCTCCAGTATCAGGTCCATTTTACAAAAAAACACACATTCTTCCTTCTATAGGGCTCAGGGCAGCATAAATAGTTCTCCCCTTTGTCATTTAACCTTCTGATGGGTAGTTTAGGCTGAAAGAAGGTGACTGGCCCCAGGTGGTCTAATGAGATTTGTAGCTGAGTGGGGATCTGAACCCAGTTTTCCTTGATTGTAGTACCAACTCTCTGACCATTACACCTAATATCACACCAATATTCTTGCCTACAACAGGACTGCTTCATCTATGAGGAGTCGCCAGTACTGGGAGATAATGTGATTGGGGGAGGGGAGAAAACCCAAAACCATTTTTGAAGTGTTTGTGTTTCCTGTGGATCAGAAAGTGCCAAAGAGGGACTTCTGGGGCAGTGGCGCATCCCTGCGGGTGTGCGTTTGGTTTACTCCTGAATGGCCCCATCCTTCCCTGTCTTTTTGAGGCTCCACGGGTCCCCAGGTCCTCTTCGCCAGACCTCCTGGAGGCTGGTAGCAGGAAACTCGACTCAGTAAGTGGCAATGAACGGGGGCTAAGAAGAATGTTTCGACGCGGAGGCAAGGAATGGTGCAAAACATGTCCGCCATGAATTGCAAAGACGCGACCGCCCTTTTTAAAGACTACTGAAACTACAAAACATAATATTCAGCAAACCAAAGCAAAATAAGAAGCATAACATGAGTACGAATTCAAATTATAAAGCTTGATGCACAGTATTTAAAAACCCCTTTAAATGACCCTCATTATGAGAAAATCGGCCGGGAAGAGAAAAGGGGAAGAAAAATCACATCAAAGCTACTAATGCGGTACAAGGCGAAATAAAGAAAAATGGCATTTGAAAAGGAGGAAATGGAGGAATGGCAAAACACCCAAATTTTGCAACGTACTTGCTAACAGTTCAAAAAAATACTGTGTGAGGAGATTGAACAGGCAGTTAAGACAGCATTCGAGAATCTCCGGGACAGATCACTCGGTTCTGGAGAAAATGAGAAGGACGAGGGAGCGCTATTGTTGTCCCAGCAAGTTACTGACGAGGAGCCAGAATGTAACCAAGAGAATGTACCACGAGATATTGGGACTCTAACTATAGAAGGATTTGAGAGCCAAAGTGACCAAGGGGTTAGTGTAGAGAAACCAGCAAGGAATGATTTGGAGCTGGAGATGGAAAGGAGAGACTATCAAGATTTACCTTGTAACAAACTGAGTTAGGCGGGTTAAAAGGAAAATGGGAAGAAATACAAGGAAAAATATAAGGAAAGCTACCAAACATACCAGAGCTAAGAAAAGACAGAAAGCTAATGGAAAGACATACTTTACAAGAAGGTTGGAAGCAAAAAGCCAAGAGTTAAAAATCGAACCTCACCTCTACAAGGAACTAAGACATTTAAATATGGTTCTGGCAAAAAAGAAGCTACAGACAATCAAGAAAAGAATACTGCAATATGAATTAAATATTGGATTTTGTTCTCTATGTCTGTGAGTAATGACGAATGGTTGGAAAAATATTAATGTTAGTGGATGGGTTATTTAATTTTTACAAGAATTATGTTAAACACTGAATGAAAATAAAGCTGTTCCAGATCTAAATAAATACACTAATTATAGTAGTCTAAAGAGATATTAGGCTGCAAGATAAGAGACAGTGAAATAAGGAACTAGAATGCAGCTTTAGATTGAGTAGGAACTTGGGATTGTCTTTTCTTGTGTAATGACTAGTGTTATTGGATGATTTATTTAATTTATATAAGGATTATGTTAAATATGGAATGTAGGAAAATTTGAGCCAGATTTAAATAAGTATATTTCTTATACTTATAAGAAACAGAATGCAGCTTTTTTTTAAGTTGGAATTTTGGATAATATTTCTTTTTTCCTTTTTTATGTTTATGAGTAATGATGAATGGCTGGGAAAAAATAAGAAGGTTGTATAATGGGTGAATACTGAATGAAAGTTAATTTGAGTTGGATTTTAATAATTGTATTTGTTATGTTAGTTTAAATAGATGATAGGAAGCAAAAAAAGTAATAATGAAAAATGAGGTGATTATACATTGTTCTATAAGAAAAGGTGCAATATTTGGTAAAATATTAAGCATTAATTTTGGTAGGGGCAAAAGAAATATATTTGTTAAAGCTGTATTTGTTAAAGGGTTTGTGTTGAAGGCTCTGTTTAAAATCTGTTCTAAATTGCTTTTACATTTTTTGTTAATCTCTCTATATATAGTAAATTGAAGGAGTAAGAGTTACAGAACCCAATTACCATATTTGAAAGGAAAATAAATATTGACAGTATTAATTAACTGAAAATTAGAGTAATTGAAAAACATTATATAGGTGTATAGGCTTATATTCTGTAAACTAGAAAATGATGATAGAAGTAAATAGCAAGATTATAAAGTAATATCGGCTAAACATTATGTGGTCACATGTCAGGGATGAATTTAGGGAAAATAAATAACTTTGTTGTTGTTTAAAATTGTTTGAGATTAAACAATAAGTAAATGGTTTAGTTATGATAGGTGATAGCCATATCCTAAATGTTTATGAAATTAATTATTAGGAAGTCAGAAGTCCGACTAATGGGATGAAACTATTGGAGAAATTCGGAAATTTGTGGCATATAGATGAGAAAACTAAATTAAGTTGAAATAAGTGTTATGTTTTGTGAAAATATTTTGGAATCCAAGATGAACTAGTCTTATATCTGTATGTTATGTCTTGTTATGTCTTCCCCCCCCCTTGTGTGTTTAAAAAAACAATAAATATATTAATTTTTTAAAAATGCCAAAGAGCACTGTTTGTGTACTTGCAGCAAAATAAACATGCTGCGCTTCAGAAGACACAATGGACATGTTTTCACTACAAAGAGATTTTCTCTGGGCCAAGAAAACATCATGTGCAAAGTGGTCCTTTTGAGCCCATTAAAGAAAAATCCGCTTTGCAAATGTTGAGAGAAGACCACTGGGTTGCAAATACAGGGTTATCTAATATATGTCTAATGTGCACTTGCTCAGGTTTCCATAGTGTCTCCTGTGAGCGATGCCCTCTTTTTGTGAGGTTCATTTACCTTCTCTGAGAGCCATAGATTTCTCCATGGATGGCCGCCATCCTGTGAAACAATATGTCAAAGTTGGTGCATAGAACTCCTTTTCTGGCAAGGTTCTTTGGAAAGCGATGCTGTTCCTGTGTGCCTTCGAAAATTGACTTGGATGCCGATCTGCTTGCTGAATAATGATCTGGTTTGTCCAAGTCTTTGGTGTTTTTAATGAAGCCATTTGTGATAAACTCTGATTTTACTGAAGTAGGATCATGGATGTTTTTGGTTTAACTTCTATAAGTGCTAAGGAAGATGCAGGGTAAAAATGCTTTGATGAATGAAAAAGCCAAATCAATCAAATCTGGGTTTGTTTGTTTTTTAAGTTATACTCTGGGTTTTGCATCTGGTGGGAAGAAAGGGGGGAAAGGACAGAAAGAAGGGAGGGGGGATGAAAACTCATTTCTAGGGAGCCGATTGAGCATACTTACAGACCTGGCTTTGTCACCAAGTAAGAGGGCACTGCTGTCAATCTTGGTTCTCTGACACAGATACAGTATACAGATCTGTTGTATTTCCTCTTGACTTTTCTATGTAAAGACTGTAGGTAGCTGGTCCATTAAGAAAAAAAAGCACAAACTAATGATGGTGGCAGTCATACGTTCGAGATAACGTGGGGGGGGGGGAGCGAGGCTATTTCCTCCGGAGGAATTTGACCTGCGCGATCACACACTCCTTGGAAGCGGCGGGGGGCGGCCGCCCCTGAGGGATCAGATGCAACCGGGGTTTTTTTTGCCGTTTGTTCCTGATGCACTTAAATGGGGAATTGATGAATCGTATCTCAGCACTGAGGGCTCCCTATGGAGTGTGCGATTATGCGCATACTGAGAGGGGGGGGGAATCAGACCATCCCAATGCCATGAGAGTGCACAGGAGCGATCAGACAGGGCCATTCGTGGCCCGTAGCAACCCATTTACTACCGGACTTTCCCTGGTGTCCTTTTAGTCGGTTTCTGCGGTAGAGCAAAACAGGTTGCTGACAGGTGCAGGGCACTTCCCAGATGTTCGTGTCTGATCGTGCCCTTTAAATCCACCTGGCATTTGCGCCTATGGAGCAGCTAACTGTGCATGTGATCGCACTCTAAGGCTGATTCTGCATCTAGCATTTGCTCCACATTTTCTCAACTGGGAGGGGAAAGTGTAGCTTAACACCACATCCAAATACCTCAGGACAATGCCATACTGACTGCAAAGTCACCCCTGAATGGCCATAAATCTATGCAGAAGGTACAATAAAATCCAATAACTAAAGGACTCGAAAGTTGCATGGAGTGTGGAAGCTATCATAAAACCCAATAATCAAAGGAAGTGAAACCAGCATGCAATGCAGAGGGAAATTTCTGTTCCAATGTGGGTTTTGTAAAACAATGGAGGGAAAAGCCAATGCAGAATCAGCCAAAGAAGCAGTAATGCAATACAATTTCACAGCAGGACCAAACAAATGGTCACAAAATAGCAGGCAACCTTTTGAGTTCCTAGGAACTCTTGATTATGCTGAATGTTTAGTAGGAAAAAGAAGGGGGAGGTAACAGAAAGATAATTCAGGGCATGATGGGAAAGCTCAAAGACTTTTTACAGACTTACAAGCTCAGTGTTCACAGAACAGGCTTTTCACAACTGAAACTGCTTTGCAGCGTCCAACAGTTTCTTACACAAGTTCTCTATCTACCTATTCTGCATGGCTTTTCCCGTTCCCGATGCTGAATGTAGATTGATGCACACATTTCCCCCCAGATGTTACAAGTTCCCCATAGCCCTCTTGATGAGCAAAAGCATACACAGACCTTCGTGAGCTAGATCTGTGCATCTGCAGCTTGTATTTTTGTCAGGGTTTCTGTTTCTTTTTAGCTCGATGTAACAGCCGTACCTTAGGCAAAGAAACAAACCCAAAAAAGCTTATAATGATATGAGGAATCATTTTCACATTGCAAAATCTGGCTCATTTTGAGATCTTAGTTATGTTGATGTGTAAGATCTATACGTCCCTTTATGACTTGGAGAGGGGGGTGCTCCCAAGACACCAATACAGGTCAGAGAGCTCAGTGGTCTGCAAACTAAAAGCATATGGGATAACTGAAAGTCATGTTTAGAAGATTTTTTTCAAATTCTAGACGGGCTGTTAAGAAACCTAGAAAGGGGCTATTCACAACCGAATTCACCCATGCTCCTTTCAAGTCATTTATTATTTTATCACAAGTTAAGGACAATAGCAAAAGTATTTCTTTAAAGAACAAGGACAACAACCAACAACAACACCACATCATGGCACTTTCCAAATGTTAAAAGGTGTATTTGAATTACAGCTACCAGTGTATATCCGAAACTCTTCTCACCATCCTGCTATGATCTATGTAAAATAATAAGAGGCATAAAATGTCAAACTATATTCAGAGTTTGTAAGATTGTTTTAGGAACATCCCCAAATTGGGGATTGAAGGGAGAGTGAAGATGAACATTTTAAAAAAGGAGCTACTCTGCCGTGGAAAGTCACACTCTTCTGGCTGTTGTCACATGCGCCATCTTCTTTTGAGAGACTGTGCTCAGAAAAACGAGTCCCACCAATCTAAATCAGAACAGGCTGTGCAGAACTCTGATTAGCTGACCACCTGTGACATCATGAAATGCTATCCTCCGTCCTCCCTGCAGCAGTTTTTCAAGAAAGGTGAGCAAGTGGGATCAGCTTGGAAGGCTATAGTTGTACCATGAAAAGAAATGATAAACTGTAAATCCCTACAAGAGGAACTGCCCCTTTTAATTAGATACTTCCTGCAGTGCTTCTGCTTCCCTTGCTCCCTGGGCCCATCAGTCACCTTTTATGCAGCAACAGGCAAAGTTTTTTCCATTGTTGATATGGCCGTGATAAGGAAAGCTCCTGGCTAGTCATTCAACTATTAGACTTGGACCACTAAAAAGTTAGAGCAGTTAACCTACCATGGTCCCTGTGTGGCAGGGAAAAAAGCGCCCAAAGCGTGGCTTTTAAAAGCCGCATCGAATTAGAGACGCCGCGGCGGAATCCCATGGATCCCAAGCCGCGGCGCTGTTGCTCCCTGGCACGATCAGATGCCGGGGAGAAAGCGACGGTGAGAAGGGGAGGCTGGCGAACTGCGCATGCTCACACATGCACAGTTCGGCCAGGAGCCGGGGATGCACCGGAGCAAGGACGCGCCGGCGATCCCACGGCCGGGCTTGAGGCGCTCTTCTACAAAGAACCACCTAGGTCAGTCGTTCTTTTTTGGTGCGGGGTTTTGGGCAGGAGGGACGGATCGGGGACGGACAGGCAACGATTCCCAGATGTTGCCGTGGGATCGCGCCCGTTTGCTCCGCCCCCGAACCGTCTCTCTCCCGGCCCAAATCCACTCGTGTGACCGGGGCCCATAATAGCTTTTTGAATTGGCACGTGTGGTGCACAAGAGTTTGGAAGTGGTTTCTGATACCTCAGCATAGAGGGAGAGGTGCCAGGGGATCCCAGCTCAGTTCACAAATCTAGTGCCGGATCATCACCTATGCAGCAGACCAGAGTCTCCAGCTATCAGCAGGCTCAGCTACACAAAATGGATGACAGTTGCAGAAGCTGACTGCAAAGCTAGTGAGGACAAATGAGTGCCTACCTACTCCTGAGAGCTGCCAACTCAAAACGATCCAATGTGTATACATAAAAGGGACTGGGCTTTTGTTTGTTTTTTAAAAGAATATACAATCACACTGGAAGAAAGAGCCATACCTGATCACTCAGCATTGGACTTAAATCCACCTCCATAAAACGAAATGTTATCACAGGAATGACTGAAATCACAGTAGTCAAGAAAATGACAAGCCAGACATTTAATTGGCCCAGGGAGTTCCAAGCATTTCCTATTAGCACAGGAGAGCAAAACCTTTTTGATAGGAATTGGGGTGGGGCGGGGAGAGGTGGATGATAAGTTTGCAGTTGTGGGACATGCCAAGTTATCTTTGATACTTTAGGTTAACCATATGTTTCTCATTCCAAGGCTCTTTGATTTTCCTAGCCATACAGAAAACACTTACTTAAGGGGAAAAAAACACAAATAAATAAATGACAGCATTCTTTGGCAAGATCTAAAAATATGAGATCATATAATACACCACACAGATTCCAGAAGATGATATACATTGTGCGCTGGCACTGAGGGATACACGGGACAGGAAGAATCATGTGTTCTGTGCTTCTTCCCTTGTCAGACTGCTCATAATTACACATTGTTCTCTTTCATAGGAACAGCCAGACTCTCTTGTTTAAAAACGTAACAAAAAACACAGAAAAGCATATATATATATATACACTACAAAAGTGCATATCTTATGTTATAATAACAAAGTTAAGAAATCTTTGGATACTTAAATCTGGTGACTGGAGCTGTAAATGGGCAAGACAGATCTTTCTACAAATCTGAAAAGGGCTCCAGGTTTGCAGAAAAATGTGAAATCTTATATATATATATATATATATATATACCCCCGCGTCACCTGGAAGTGACGTCGGACGCTGGGGGCGGAGCTGAAGTTTGGTTAGTGTGTCAAGAGGCCATTTTTATAAAGGCATAAGAATTGAGGTAGAATTGAACATTTATTTATTTATTTATTTATTTATTTATTTATTTCAGCTTATATACCGCTCCTTCCCGAAGGCTCAGAGCGGTTTACCGAGAAGTATTAACGTTCTAATTAGGGCCACACAGTACAGGGGAGAATGAATGCCTACCAGGCACCCAAGCAAGGTGTGTTCATGGTGGGTTCTTCCTCAAGTCGATGGTGTCTCGGCGGGATCTTCCAGTAGCGACTCCTTCTGGGCGGACCTTCGTGGTGCGCGGCTCTTCAATGGTCACAGCACTGGTCTCTGTTCTTATTGGCTCCGACCGTGTTGCGTTGCTGCGTCGTCACGCCTCCTCTCCACCTGGGTCGTTCGTCGCCCGACTTTGCTGTATTGCTGTTCGTCCATCGCCTGTTCCCACCACATGGCCACCACCGCTGCTACACACCATCCATGGAAGGAGGGTGCCCCCCACTCTTCTAAGAGCAGGTACCCATTTGTCTACTTGCCCTAGGGCTTTCGAGCCACTGGGTAGGCGGGAGCTGGGACGAGGGCCGGGAGCATTTCTGGAGAGTGCCGATATAATGGAATAGGTTTGTAATCTTGAATTGTAGGTACCATTTTGCTTTGATGGCACTGTTTTCTACCTTTGTCATCCTACTTCCTGCATTGCTTACAGTATACCTGCCTTAGACAATTTGGTTTTTTGCATTATTTTCTAACTGCAAGCATTGTTCATTGTCTTATGGTGTCTGATTGCATCGTTTCGTATTCTATAATCCACCTTGAGTCTCAGTGGGCTAGAAACAAGAGTAAATAAATGAAAGACTAGGGCCTCAGAGATGTGGGTTCAAATCCCCACTCTGCCATGAATCCTGCTGGGCGACCTTGGGCTCATCACTTGTCCTAACCCATCTCACAGGGTTGAAGTGACGACAAAACAAACTGGAGAGGCTCTGAGCTCTCGGAGCGTAAGACAGATACTGAGGCACTGTGGCACAGAGGCTGGGTTTGCATGCACAAATCCCCATGACTATTTAGCAGCTTTATACTAGCTCCCAACCTGTTGTGAGGATGAACCTATCAAGCTTCCTTATACCAAGTCAGACCAAGTCCCTCTAGCTCAGAACAACGTGTTTTCCGTCCCGCTATCCGAGACGCTTTAACTGAAGGTGCCGAGGCTGGAACCTGGGGCCTGGAGGCATGCAAAGTACACGGCTCTACTCCTGAACCAAAAATTGGACATATTACAACACACCCAGTGGCTTTGCAACCTGAAATGTAAATAAAAGGTGTGTCTGCCAGGATGAGAGGTGGGGGCGTTCAGCACATGTGCTGTCAACCAGGCCAAGAAGCCTCTTAACAGCAACAGACCACAGTGGGTCATGCGGTATTCTCCTTCACCCTTCTAAACAAATCTGAATTTGCCTTGTTCATTCAATCCCCCCCTCCCATCCCAACTTGACAGAAGCTGGCTCTGACTCAGTGTTCAACAATGACCCCTGCTTAGTCATGATTTCTGTGAACAATACACTGTTTGGATAACTGTCTGGACCACTCAGAGTTTTTCATGTTTGTCTTGGGAGGTGGTGAATACACACTTTCTAGGCTTGCAGTGATCAAAGTCTGAGTGGAAACACAGAATACACAAGCAAAGAGGAGTTGGAGGCTGCTTAAGAAGCCTTGTCCAAGGGTAAAATAATAGGTATTACTACCCTGGAGGGTTTCCAGCCGGCCTCAGCTATTTCTGCAGATATAAACAGGCTTAACTAGAGGCTTCAAACCGCATGAGAAGCACACCGTTATTAAACGTATATGCATGTGTATATCCCTGCTTCCTGCTGCTTGGTTTTGGCTACCGGAACTGCTTTGTGAAAGAGTCATCATGTAACACTTGCAAATTCCATCTGGGGCACGGCAATTCTTGGCAGGTCTTTTCCCCCCCTTGGTGAGTAACATCCTCCAACAGCGAAAGGTCTCCTAACCACACTGTGCGCAGTATTACCAGAAACCTGGTGTGCAGGGAGGGGCCTGCAGAGAGGTCTTCCTCAATGGCTGCCTCTCCACTTTGGAATTCTCTTTCTTGGGGAGGGAGCCAGAGTCCCAGCCTGGACGTCCTCTGGAAGCCAGATAAGATGCAGTAGAATAATTACAGTTATCCACCCACAGTCCTTGGAGTAGCCACATACAGAAGGGGGGGGGGCGCTACTGGGGATGTGAGTTCAGAATGCCACTCTGTCATGAAAATCACTTACTGGATTTTTTTCATCCTTTCCTTAGAGAGTGTTACTGGGTGGCTAATGTTGCATTATCTAATATAATAATAATCTTTCAATTTATTGATCGCTCAATCCTTGCAGAGCTGCTGGCTCTGAGCGATTTACAGTTACTCATTTCACAAGGGACTAACAATGCTTTTATAGGGGTAAGGGAGGACAGCACATATAATCTTTTACATAGCACACGTTTTGCAGCCGACGGGGAATTGTTCAGTTGCAACTCAGACATGATCCGGACGGCATTTTCCCCACTCAGCTTGGCTTGGCTGGATGACGTCAGCTCTTCCTCTCCAGGACTCTTTGGGTCGCAGCTCCATACTGCCACCGCCTGGCCGGAACGGCCCATTACAGGCTTCTTGATGCCGAAGAGATCTAATATAATCTAATATAAAACAGCAGGAAACAAGTAGCACCTTAAAGACTAACAAACTTTTCCCATGCACCTGATGATGTAACCGCTGACTTACCAAAAGCTTATGCTAGAATAAATGTTGTTAGTCTTTAACGTGCACCTGGAGTCCTCATTAATGCAACAGACTGACACGGCTACCCTATTGTAAATATAATACAATATATATTGCCCCAACCTTCTTGGGTGATAAGCAAATCAATCTCTGCCAAGAAGCAAATCTTCATTCTCACACCGGTTATTGCCTTAAGCCTCATTAGTGCTTTATGTGCTTTATTAGTGCTTTATGTCCTCACTAAAGAATACATCGCTTTTGTCAAGCGGTGTGTTATGTGCCTGAACTGCACTTGCAAAAGCTTGGGATGCATAACAATAGATTGCTAGGATCCTAGAATGGACCAGTAGGGAGACAAGGATCCTAGAGTAAACTAATTGGGAAACAATAGAGTGTAAATAGCCTATCGTTGGGAGTGGGGTGTGTTTTGGGTGTACCCCTTTTCAGGCATAAATACCTGGCTTCGGCCAGAGATTGCAGTCTTCTTTCTCTTGCTGAATCACTAATAAACTATGAGCTGATCACTTCTACGCGTCTGAACCCATACGCGTCTGAACCCAGTAGATTTCACGGTGGAAAGTTTATATCGCAGTTGTTACACCAGCAATTACAGACTCACCTACAAAAGGGAAATGGCCTGGACACAGATCAAAAATTCCATTGCTTTGCATTGCAAACAGGACTGCAAAGTACACAGCAATACTACCCCAGATGAAATGAGTAATTCCTGTCCAGTAGCTGGTATCCATGGCAATCTGTAAAGCAAAAAGAAAAAGAGAAAAAGATCAGTTGTTCTGGTAAGAGTTATTTAGGCTGCAGTCACACGGAGCATTAGGCACGCTAGAGGGACGGGGGATAGGCGGATTTTCCGGGCGCGATCTCACCGCCACATCTGGGAAGCGTAGAGCTCCCGTGGCGAACCCGAGGCTTCCTGCCGAAGATGCGCGGTTAAAAACGAATACCTTGGAGGTACTAGTTTCCGGTAACTGCGGGGCAAGGGTGGGCATCTGATCGCGTTTCCAGTGGTAGTTCCGGCGCCCGCCCATGCCCCCTCGTATAAAGGGGTTTTTTTCCAACTGTCCATTGGATGCGCACAAACACCCAACGGGGCATGCCCACACTTTGGTATCCGAAAAACCCCACCCGTTTGCCGCACCGCTTCTTTGCCACGGCGCAGGATTGTGGTGTGCTCGGCACCTCCCCCCTACCACGGGACCTCCATGTGACCTCCACAGTACGTCTGCTGGCACAACCACATGTTATTTTGCCCCAGGGCAAAAAGCCACGCTTTCCCCCCGCATTTTCCTGCCTGTGTGACCCAGGCCTATGTTCACTTCTGTTGGAGCAGTACCATTTCAAATACTGATGACAGTTCACATGTCTGAATGCTCATCCGTTCAACCAAATGCCTTCGCACAGAAACTAGATACAAGGATAAGGCCCCTGATATGGTAGATTTCTATATGCAAGGCCTCTTTACATGAAGGCATATTTAATCCTATGAGCTCCCACCTGTTCAGTGAGAAGTAGGCAATATTAAAATCAAGAATGTGGGAGTGGGGGTGGAGTGGCAGCAGCAGCAGCACACAAAAATGTACTTAGCAGAATCTTTCAAATAAGCTGTATCATAGATATTAATGCACAAAAGTTAAGTGTTTGGCACTGTTATAGGACGTCAAGACTGTCAATCTTTTTATCTAAACTAAAGACCTTGTTTTAAAATGTTTTAAAACCCTCAGACATTTTCACATCATGACAGCCAGATTTGCCAGATTTACAAACCTATAAGAATACAAGAAGTCACAGTTATGGAAAATATCAACTGCATATTCTGATTTTAATACTGTACGTAACGACATGTAGTCTTGAGGAGCCCTGTCTCAGTCTGTAAAACCACTGGACTAGATTCAGAAAAATAAAATGCTTCACGAATAAGTTCAGGAACAAAATGCAATCAGAGGGCGATTCGGCATTGGCTTTCCCCTCCGTTGTTATACCAAACCTATGCTGGAACAGAAATTCCCCTCTACACTGTATACCGCTTTCACTTTCTTTGATCATCAGGTTTGATGGCACTTTCTGCATAGATTTATGGCCATTCAGGGGTGACTTTGCAGTCAGTACAGAGTTGCCCCTGGGGTATTTGAATGTGGTTTTGAGCTGCACCTTTTCCTCAGTGTTAAAAAAATGTGGGGTGAATGCTAGATGCAGAATCGCCCAGAATCTCCCGGCTTTGCTTTTTGTTTTTACCTGAACACAGACTACTGTTATCAAAGAGGTTGCAACAGCGACAGCAAAAGATTGGTAGTCAGCAACATGTTTCCCATTTTCTCCAGAAGCTTCATAAAATACACCGCATGGGATGAAGAACAGAACAGAGGTGTAAATTCCATGTGCTATGCAGATGAAAAATCTGTGTTTGTTGAACAAGAGGTATAGTTGCCCGGGCTCATAGGTAAAGGTAAAGGTTTCCCTTGCTCGAAAGCCAGTCAAGTCCGACTCTAGGGTTGTGGTGCTCATCTCCCTTTCAAAGCCGAAGAGCCAGCGCTGTCCAAAGACGTTTCCGTGGTCATGTGGCCGGCATGACTAAACACAAAGGCGCACGGAACGCTGTTACCTTCCCACCGAAGTGGTACCTATTTATCTACTTGCAGTTTCTTGCTTTCGAACTGCTAGGTTGGCAGGAGCTGGAACTAGAGACGGGAGCTCACTTCGTCATGCGGCACACTCGGGTCTCGAACTGCTGAACTACTGACCTTCCACAGCCTGCAGTTCAGCGTCTTAACCACTTGAGCCACCGCAGCTCCGCCCAGGCTCATACAGCATGGAAAAATCAAGATAGTCCTGTTCATTCACGTCCTGCTAAAACACATTTGGTGAGATGTTAACTCTAGTGATGTACACACGAAGTTGCTGTATACTGAGTCCAACCACTAATCTATCAAGGCCAGTTCTGTCTACTCTGATTTGCAGCAATTCTCCAGGGGCTCAGGGAAAGGTCTTTTCCATCACATACAACCTTGAAACTGGAGATGCCAGAGACTGAACCTGGGATCTTCTGCACACAAAGCAGATGCTCTAACACTGAGCCACAGGAGCACAACATAAACTTTACTCTCTCTCCTTCAACATGTGAATTTGGGCCCCGGTCACATGGGCCAGTCACATGCGCGCTGGCGCAATTTAACATGCCAGAACGCGATCAGATGCTGCGGCGGCAAAGTGGGGGTTTGTTTGTCGGCACATGTTTTCGGCACATGTCAACACGGCGAGAGGAGCGCACTTGAGCGATCACACGTAGGTATTCCGTCGATGGCCCATAGCAAACCGTTTGCTAGTAGACTTTCCTGGATAAGTTTTAACTCCGGATCTTTGGGTAGATGCTACGGGTCGGCGATGTGTCCTTGTGATCGTGCCCGTATACTCCGCCTGACATTCGTGCTCTCTCCCACCGCGAATTCCGCATGTGAACAGGGCCTTGGCTACCCAAAGAAACAGATGGGGCAATACACACATGAAACTGCCTTCTACAGAGTCTGACCCTTGGTCTATCAAGGTCAGCACTGTCTGAGTGGTGCCCGCCAATGCTCCCTCTAAACTGTGGAGTCTTGTGAGCAAAAATTCTACTTTCTGAGCTACTGGCATTAAAGTTGTGAGTGAGCGATTTGGCTACTGCATAAATTAGTTTGCTCTGGAGCCATCCTTCCTGAGCTAAGACAAAAAAACAGAGGCTAAAAAACTGAGCTAGCTCACACTAACCTCAGCTTAGAGGGGACACTGGAACTCTTCACTTTCTTGGGTGCAGGTATATTACATCACTTCCTAACTGATCTTTGTAACTGGAGATGTAAGAAATTAAACCTGGGGCCTCTTATATTCCAAGTGCGGGTGAAAATGATTCAAAATCTTGTTCCCTTTGGTCTTTTGGGGGATATACCGACGGGCAAGAGAACTAGTGAACTCCAGTCCTCTGCTGACTAAAACACCTTTCTATTTAGAACAAAGTCTGAGTCCAGTGGCACCTTTAAGACCAACAGAGTTTTATTCTGGGTAAAAGCTTCCGTGCGCATTAAAAAGAGTCACCAGCCATTACATAGGTAGGCAGGAGAAAAGGATGTTGCCAGGAGGGGGGCCAACTAGAGTTTAAGATTGGATTAAGGGAATTGGTAAAACCTGTGAATAGCAGCGAATATAGCTAAGATTGGATTAAGGCAATTTAATTTAATTGTAATACTGTCTTTGGAGCTGCAGTGGCTCAAGTGGTTAAGACACTGAGCTGCAGGCTGTGGAAGGTCGGTAGTTCAGCAGTTCGAGACCCGAGTGTGCCGCATGACGGAGTGAGCTCCCATCTCTAGTTCCAGCTCCTGCCAACCTAGCAGTTCGAAATAAAGAAACTGCAAGTAGATAAATAGGTACCACTTCGGTGGGAAGGGAACAGCGTTCCTTGCGCCTTGGTGTTTAGTCATGCCGGCCACATGAGCACGGAAATGTCTTCGGACAGCGCTGGCTCTTTGGCTTTGAAACGGAGATGAGCACCGCAACCCTAGAGTCAGATTCGACTGGCATTCGAGCAAGGGAACCTTTACCTTTAATACTGTCTTTATCTTGCCAGGAGGTAAAGGTGCTTACCAAAAGGAAGATACAGATCCAAGGGTTTAACTGGCACAAATTAAGCAGTTTATTAAGGCACTAGTGATAATAAGGTATCTATTCCTGTTTGTAATGTCTAGTATTTATCACATTTTTATCCACCCTTTTTTCCAGGCTGCTCAGAGAGAATTATGGTGCTAGAGAAGACTCTTGAGAGTCCCTTCGACTACTAGGAGATTGAATCAGTCAATCCTAAAAGAAATCAACCCTGACTGTTCCCTGGAAGGCCAGATACTGAAGCTGAAGCTCAAATATTTTGGCCACCAAATGAGAAGGGAGAAGACCTTGATGCTAGGAAAGACTGAATCTAACAGAAGAAGAGGACGGCAAAGGATGAGATGGTCAGACAGTGTTATCAATGCAATGAACATGAAATGAAGCAAACTCCGGAGCACAATGGAAGACAGGAGGGCCTGGAGTGATGTGGTCCATGGGGTCGCAAAGAGTCGGACTCAATTGTGCGACTGAACAACAACAAACAGAGAGACTCACATGGTTCTCCCTCTTTCATTTTATCCTCATGGCCACACTGCAATGTAGTACAGAACAAGAGTGAGAGGCCCAAAGTCAGTCTTTGGGGCTGGGTGGGCATTTAATCCAGGCCTTCCTGTCCTTCCCTGATACATCACACTGGCTCTGAAGGCCCCAAATCAAAAACTGGCAAGAGTGGAGGTCCCCTGCTTTAGATCTCTGTCTCTCTGTCTCTCTCTCTCTCTGTCTCTCTGTCTGTCTGTCTGTCTCTCTCTCTCTCTCTGTGTCTGTGTGTGTATGTGTGTGTGTGTCTATGTGTGAGTGTATAAAATGCCTAGGGTTGCCAGGTCTGGGTTGGAAAATACCTGGAGATTTTGGGTGTGGATCCGGGAGAGGGTGGGGTTTGGGGAGGGGAGGGGCCTCAGCATGGTACAGTGCCATAGAGTCCACCCTTCAAAGCAGCTATTTTCTTCAGGGGAGCTGATCTCTGTCAGCTGGAGATCAGTTGTAAAAGCAGGAGATCCCCAGGCCCCACCTGGAGGCTTGCAACCCTAGCTGTCAAGTTGCAGCGGAGTTATGGCAACCCAGAAAGGAAGGGGCTTTCAAGGCAAGTGAGAAGCAGAGGTGGTTTCCAGTTGCCTTCCTCTGCAGAGTCTTCCTTGGAGGGTCTCCCTTCCAAGCTCTAACCCTGCTTAGCTTCCGAGATCTGACGAGATCAGGCTATACCATGTTGCATCCCCCCCCCCATTAGATCTCCTTATAGCTAGCTACTCTGGAATATCCAAGTGTATACCTGGTCAGACAATCGCATCACTAGCACAGGCAGAAAGGTATACACAATGGTGAAGAGGGTGATAAACCACTAGTCATAAATAGTCTGCAAATATAATTAAATTCAGGGGATTATTGTTATTCTTTCTTGTCAGGAATATATCATGTTCAAATAAATATATTAGAACCCAATTCATTAACTATATTCACCTTGTGAGAGTGCAAAAAGAGTTCTCTCTAAAAACATAAAAATCTGAACAGACTCAAAGAAAGAACAGGGCAAAAAAAAAAGTTCTACACAAATATTACACCTAATTTTTCCTGGTGCCTAGGTAAGCTGGGGCCCAGTTGATAAACCCATACAAATAATCATTTTTATATTCTCTACTTAACATTCCATTCTATCAGAAAGACCTCCTAAGAATCTGTCTCATAAAAGTCAGTTACTTATATTTTTACATTCCTTCAACTGTAATGGGATTTATAAACACGTCGTCTTAAGAAATGGCATTACTGTTTAAATAGGAGGTGCCTCGCTCATCTGTTTTTGGTTTAGGCAATTAGCAAAAATGTACTGGAGAAATGGATGGAGTTGAACAGCAAGTATTCCACTTGAAACATTAGCCAGCCACCACATTAGCCAACCACTCCAGGGAATAATACTGGGTGGGTTAGATGACTCTTCCGCTGATAATCAAAATCCACAAAGTTATCAGAACCTCTGAGACTAGACAAGCACTCACATGCCCTTTTCAAAAAGCTTTTCGCTGTAAATTTATATATCTCCATATATTTTAAATGCACACATTCACGGACAAGGTAATTGCTTCCATATTGTATTAAGCAAGCTTTTCCTCACCACTCAGTAGATTTGGCAACAGCACCCTGTCAACCAACTGACAATTGTTTATCGAGCAAAAAATGCTTCTATCTGTCTCGAACCACAGCACTGCACAAACACAGTTGAAAGTATTTCAGCAAGCAATTAATACACGCCTGCCAAATTCTGAACATCCAGAAGACTAAGGCCCAATCTGCATCTAGCATTTGCTCCGTTGTTATACCAAACTCACAATGGAACAGAAATTCCCATCTACATTGCATGTCACTTTCACTTTGATTGAGTGTTGTATTTTATGGCAGTGTCCAGACTGCATGCCGCTTTCACTTTGTTTTATTTCTGGTTTTATGGTGGCTGTCTGCACAGATGTATGGCCGTTTTATGGCCATTGGGGGGGGGGGTGAAGCTGCATTCAGTACAGTGTTGGCCCGGGGTAGTTGAATGTGGTTTTGAACTGCATCTTTTCTGTTCCAGTGTGGGTTTGGTAAAACAACTGAGCAAATGCTAAATGCAGATTGGGCCTCTAGAGAGAAGGAAAAGGAGAGAACCTATAAAGTTATATTGGTTCTTTGTCTGTTTGACCAGTGATGGCCCAGCCTCCTTGGTGGTGGTGCCTCCACAGAAGTAACTCATTTCCCATGCCAGTTTGCATAGCCCCAAGTTCATCCAGATTAGGTACCAAGTGAAAGCTGTTTCACTCTGCCTTCTTGACTTGACAATGTTTTCGGGTTTTTTTACTGTGGTCTTAGACCATACTGCTGCTTGAGTTTATTTTAAGTATTGCTCAGTTTTAGATTAAAGTTATTTTACCTAACTTGCCATGGAGACACAGGGTCGGCTCACTCACTAGGCGAACTGGGCAATCGCCTAGAGCGGGCTGGCCCTTAGGGGCGCCAAACTGCACCCGGCCCCGTACTCTGGGAGTTTCTTGATTATTTGTGCTT